CAAAGCAAGAAGGAATGAAAAAAAAAATTAGAGTGGAAATTAATGATAATTTAAAAAATAGAGAAAACCAATAAAAGCAAAAGTTGGTTCTTTGAAAAAATCAACAAAACACATACCATTAGCTAAACTGACCAAGAAACAAAAGAAAGAAGTCACAGATTACCAAAATTAGGAATGAAAGAAGGAACGACACTAAGGACCTCACAGTAATTAAGAAGATAAGGGACTACTATGAACAACTTTATGCCATTAATTTAGACAACTTAGATAAAATGAAAGATTTTCAAGAAAGATACAAGTTATTAAAACCAACTCAAAAAGAAATAGAAAATCTGTATAGGCTTATAACAACAAAAGACATTGAATTAATCATTAAAAATATTTCCACAAAGAAAGCCCAGACCTAGATGGATTAATTGGTGAATTCTAACAAATATTTGAGGAAGAAACAATACCAAACCAATCCTTCATAAACTCTTCCAGAAAATGAAGGAAGAGGGAACACTTCTCAATTCATTTTATGAGGTCAATATTCCCCCGATACCAAAGTCAGACAAAGACATCACAAGAAAAGAAAATTACAGATGAATATTCCTCATAAATATAAATTCAAAAATCCCCGACAAAATAGTTACAGACTGAATCCAGTAATATATAAGAAGTATTACAATACAATGGCCAAGGGGGATATATACCAGGAATGCAAGACTGATTTAATATCAAAAATCCGACCAATGTAAAATATCATATTAATGGAAGACCAAAAACACAGTATCATCTCAACAGGTGCAAAAAAAGAGGCATTTGGCAAAATCCAACACTTATTCCTGATAAATATTCTCAACAACTATGAATAGAAGGGAAATTCTTCAATCTGATAAATAGTACTGGAGAAAAACCTACATATTTAATGATGTAATACTGAATGCTTAATGGTAAAACATCATACTTAATAGTGGAATATTTAATGTTTTCCCCCTAAGACTGTGAACAAGCAGGAATGTGTATTCTTGCCACTTACATTCAACATTTGTGTTAGAGGTTCTAGCCAGTGTAGTCAGGCAAGGAAAGAAATAAAAAGTATCTAAATTGGATAGAAAGAAGTAAAACAGGCTTTATTCTCAGACAACATATCCTGTATATAGAAAACCCTAAACAACTCACACACACGGGGTGAAAAAAACACAAGAGCTACAAAACACGTTCAGCAAGTCTGGAGGATGAAAGATCAATCTATAAAATCAATCGTATTTCTAAATACCAGCAATGCACAACACATAAATAAAATTAAAATAATTCCATTAATAATTGCATGAAAAAGAAAAAGAAAAAAATATTTAAGATTAAATTTCACAAAAAAGTGCAAAATTTGTACACTAAACTACAAAACACTGCTGAAATTAAAAATTGAATAAATGGGGAGATAATCTATGTTTGTGGACATACTCAATATTCTTAGGATGGCAAATCTCCCCAAAATGATCTATAGATTCAATGCTATCTCTATTAAAATTCCAGCAGGCTTTATTGAGGAAATAAAAAGCTGTGTGGAAATGCAAGCACCTAGGATAGCCAAAACAATTTTATTTTATTACTTTTTAAAGATTTTATTTATTTATTTGAGACAGAGAGAGAGAATGTGAGCACACAAGCTGGGGCGAGAGGCAGCGGGAGAGGGAGAAGCAGGCTCCCTGCTGAGCAAGGAGGCTGATGCAGTGCTCGATCCCAAGACCCTGGGATTGGGGCCTGAGCTGAAGGCAGCCGCTTAACCGACTGAGCCACCCAGGCGCCCCAGCGAAAACAATTTTTAAAAAATAACAAAATTGGAGGATTTATACTTCCCATTTTCAAAACTCATTACAAAGCTATTGTAATCAAGACAATGTAGTGCTAGTATAAAGACAGACATACTGATCAGTGGAACAGAATTAGGAGTCGAGAAATAAATCCATTTTTGGTTGGTTTTTGACAAAAGTGTTAATAGAATACAAAAGGGAAAGAATAGTCTTTTAAGTAGTTCTGGGACAACTTGATATCCACATGCAAAAGATGAATTTTTAGACTCTAGCTCCCTAACATACTCAAAATTAACTTGTGGATCTTATACCTAAACGTGAAAGCAAAAACTATAAAACTTTTAGAATATAGAAAAAGACAACACTTTGTGGTTTGGGGTTAGGCAAAGAGATGATACCAAAAGTATGATCTGTAAAATGAAAAACTGACAAATTGAACTTTATCAAAATTCAAAACTTCTGTACTTCAAAAGATGCCATAAAAAAAGTGTAAAGAGAAGTTACAGACCAGGAAAAATATGTGCACATCATATATTTGACGAAGAACTCATATCCAGAATATATTTAAGATTTTTACAACTCAATAATAAAGTAACTCAATTAAAAGGGGAGAAGATTTGAGTAGACATTTCACCAAAAAAGATGTAAGAATGTCTGAAAAGCACATGAAAAGACACTCAACATCATTTGTCATTAGGGAAGTGCTAATTAAAGCCATATTAAGATACTACTTCAAACTCACTAGAATGGTTATAATCGGGCAGACATTGACAAGTGTTTCCAAAGATGTAGAAAAACTAAAACCCTTATACATTTCTAGTGAAAATGTAAAATGGTAGAGCTACTTAGGAAAATATTTGGCAGTGGTTAAAAAATAAACATAAACTTACAATATGAATTAGCAACGCTCCTCCCCTCCTAGGTATGTTCCTAGGAGAAATAAAAGCATATATCCACACAAAGACTTATATGTGAAAGTTTATAGCAGCATTATTTATCAAAGCCCAAAAGCAGAAACAATCCAGATGTCCATTATCTGGGAAATGGAAAAGCAAAATGGGATATACAGCCATACACTGGAATACTATTCAGCAATAAAAAGGAATGAGCTACTTTTATTTGCTACAATATGGATAAACTTCAAAAACATGCGAGGTGAAAGAAGTCAGATGCAAAAGACTGTTATATGATCCAATTATATGAAATGTCCATAAAAGACAAATCTATGGATAGGAAACAGATTAGGGTTTCCTGAGATAGGACATGGTTACAGGGATGGATGGCAAGTGGAATGAGGGATCTTTTTGGAGTTATGGAAATGTTCTAAAGTTGGACTTCAGAGATGTTTGTTCAAGTCTATAAATTTGATAATCGAATTGCAAAATGAAGAGGAAGGAAGGGAGAGTGAGAGGGTGAGAGAGGGGAAAGGAGGAGGGGAGACCGGAGGATAGGAGGAACTGAAGGCAGGGGTACATTACTTCATTGTTAGAAAACAATAGGATCAAGTTGAATACTTCAATTTGAATTACTAAAGGACAAAAATGTTATATGAGAGAACATAATGATGAACTGTTTTCAATCCTATTTATTATCTATCTTCTCTACTAGAATGTAGGCAGGGGTATTTATCTGTTATTTACTCTTATATCTCTCAAAACAATCATAGTACCTTTGTACATATTAGGCAGTCAATAAATACTTGTTGAATGAAAGTTGAAGGAAGTGAAGAAAGCAAGAAGTTTTAATACCATTAAAAAAAACCTCATAGGGTAGTAAAAAAAAGTGCCTCCTTTTCTGTTAGAAGTCCCAAGTTCCTGACATAGATTTAGCATTTACTGCTGCCTTTAGCAATTCTCTTTACCTTTTTCAATGTATTTCCTCACCTGCATAATATTTCCTTTATTAGGCTCTTCATTTAGCACTTTAAGGTCCAAATAGAAGAGTATTTGGACTTGCTGTGTAACTAAATACTATGTAAATATAGGATGACAATATTGTTGACAATTACATATAAACCTCCTAAGGAGGTAACTCGAAGGTTTTTGTCACCAACCAGTGGCAGAAAATATGCACTGTATGCCTTTAAAATAGAAAAGACAAATACAGTATTTTTCTTTTTTTTAGTAACAGCAGTATTGAGATATAATTTACATCTATACAATTCACCAAATTAATGTATATAATTCAATGGTTTTAAGTATATTTACACCATTGTGCAATCATCACCACAACAAATTTAAGAACATTTTTATCACCCCCAAAGAAACCTCAGGCCCTTTAGCAGTTCCCTCGCATCTCTGCCACCCCTAGCTCTGGGCAACCACTAATCTACTGTCTCTTTAGATTTACCTATTTTGGACGTTTTATATAAATATGTGTCTGGCTTTTTTCATTTAGCATAATCTTTTCAAGGTTCATCCGTGTTGTAGCATGTATTCACTCCTTTTTTTGTGACCACATAATATTCCATCATATGGCTATACCACATTTTATTTATCCATTTATCAGTTGATGGACATTTGGGTTGTTTCCACTTTTTGGCTATTAGAAATAATGCTACTATGTATAAATTTTTCTGTGGACATATGTTTTCATTTCTCTTAAATATATACCTAGGAGTAGAATTGCTAAGTCATATAGGAACTCTATATTTAACTTTTTGAGGAACTGCCTGACTGTATTCCAAAGTGGTTACACCGTTTTACATTCCCACCAGCAGTGTATGAGGGTTCTTATTTCTCCACATCCCTGCCAATAGTTGTTATCCTTTTTTTATCATGGGCATCCTAGTGGATGTGAAATACTATCTTATCGTGGTTTTGATTTGCTTTTCCCTGATGGCTAATAACGTTGAGCATCTTTTCATGTGTTTTTTTTTTTTTTGGCCTTTTGTATTTTTTCTTTGGAGAAATGTCTCTTCAGATCCTTTGGTCAATAGTATTCTTTTAACTGATTCTTGAGTTGTCCTTAATATGAAGTGAAACAACACAGCAAATGATATCCACAGTTCCAAGAAGCAAGTATGGATTCACCAAATCTACTGTACTTCACTATTTGGTTTCTTCCTATTTAGAAGATCAATTCAGTGGCCAAATATCCTAAGTGTTTTCTGGGCCAGTACCCTACAGATGGTCTAACTGAGGCTGTTCCAGGCCAACTTATTTTTTATCTTGTCAATTCAGAGGAAATAACAGCCTTACTTACCATTTCCCAGTTCCCAAGAAATGTTGTACTTTTTGCTGGCACTGTACTTCAACAGACTTAGGGCACTAGAACTGTTCCAGGAGTTATTGGGATTACGACGCAGTGCATTTAGTGCAAATATCAGGTGGAGTCCAGAGCAATCAGCAAAATTATAAAGTTTGTCTAGAGACCTGGCTGGGAAGAAGCAGAAAAAGGCTTGTAACTTTAAAATCAACATTCCAACAAAAGGAAAATATTAGGTACTATAAAAAGCCTTTCTATGAGCTTCCTGCTAATTAATTCCTGCTAGGAATTACACAGAGAGGCTTCAAAAGGATTATATTACCTCTTGGTTCAGGGTTCATTTTGAAGTGATTTTAGAAAGCAGCACGCAGAATTCTAGACACAGGTTGCAAATTAGCAACCAAGTCTAGTCCACAGTATGTTTTATTTGTTAACAACAACAACAAAATGGAATTGCTAACATTTAAAAATGGGAAGGTATCACAAAGTAGTTCGATTTCTAGCTTCTCTTGAAAAATCACATGATCTGACACTGCTGGGTCTGCATTCCTTTGTGGAATGATAGGAATAGTGTTGGGAGGCAAGGCCAAGAGAGATAACTGGCTGGTAAGTCTTGCAAAATAGCTCAGCCTAGCAGCACTTCAAAAAAAAATATTTACTCGATTCCACATTTCTAATATTTCTGAGAATGGAAACACCAGAAGTGTAAATATATTCATTGTCATTTTGATCCTTGATACCATCAACTCTACTCACCATGTGTCCCATACCCATCCCATTCCTTCACATCTATTGTCACCATTCTGGTTCTAGTTCTCATTTCAACTTGGATAATTATCACAACAATCTCTGTGCTTGCCTGTCCAGATTCATCTTTCTTCCAATCTCTTTCATCAGTTTCACTCACCTCTCAAAACCTTAGTGGATTTTTAAAACTGTTTTCTTCCTTCGTTCAGGACTTTACAACTCAATCATAATTTTCCCCCAACTTCAAGCCTCTCTATTGTCGTCTATGAGTTCTTTGTTGGTGTCACCCAGTTCCATGTATTATAGAATCTCCTGCTCCATCAGGCTTTGCTCTAATTATTCTCCTCATTTGGCATGCCCTTTTCCCCCTTTTAAAAACATATCCAGATCTTACTTGTCCTTTTATTTTTTTTATTATGTTATGTTAATCACCATACATTACATCATTAGTTTTTGATGTAGGGTTCCCTGATTCATTGTTTGCATATAACACCCAGTGCTCCA